TCTTGGATGTGATGTCAGTAGACTTGGAACTGTCACTCAGTTGACGCTCTATAGTATTTCTCTTTGCTCCTTCCCCAGGAGCTACATGTAGGATATGTAGGGAAGTGAAGGAAGGGGTGGAGCAGCTGGGCCAGCACAGAGATTAATTGGGTAATCCCCAGAATAGGAGAGGCTATGATGTACAAGCGGCAAGGAGGTTGTGCCAGTAGGATTGACTCTGCTGGAGTAGTCAAATTTTCTAGCAAGTTCAAAGTCGCATAGAAATCATTGAAAGAAAGAAACACTGCAAGCATTTAAAATGCACCTTTTTTTTCTGTGGTTTTACTTGCATTAAGTTGTTGGCAGGGTCCTTTTTTAGGATTTAACATCTACATACACTCACCGGCCACTTTGCTAGTACCGGGTTGGACCCCCTTTGCCTTCAGAATTGCCTTAATTCTTTGTGGCATTGATTCAACAAGGTGTTGGAAACATTCCTCAGTGATTTTGGTCCATATTGACATGATAGCATCACGGGCCTAAAGTGTGCCAAGAAAATATCCCCCACACCATTACACCACAACCACCAGCCTGAACCGTTGACACAAGGCAGGATGGATACACGCTTTCATGTTTATGCCAAATTCTGACCGGACCATCTGAATGTCGCAGCGGAAATGGAGACTCATCAGACCAGGCAACGTTTCTCCAATCTTCTATTGCCCAATTTTGGTGAGCCTGTGCGAATTGTAGCCTCAGTTTCCTGTTCTTAGCCGATAGGAGTGGCACCCGGTGTGGTCTTCTGCTGCTGTAGCCCATCTGATTCAAGGTTCAATGTGTTGTGTGTTCAGAAATGGTATTCTGCAAACCTTGGATGTAACGAGTGGTTATTTGAGTTACTGTTGCCTTTCTATCAGATTAAACCAGTCTGCCCATTCTCCTCTAACATCAGGTCTTCCAGGAAAGGTCACTGGAAGGAGTGGTTACTACACAGACCGAGACGGATATTCATTAAAAATTTAAACTTTATTCGTGTACAAAATTCTAATACCATCAGTGCACTTCTACAAAATCCTCTATAAAAAAAAGACAACGTTGTACATAACACTCAAACAACCACTCATTCATACCATGGGCCCCATACGTTCTACGGCAATATACAGCTTCACTAAGTTTCCATAGAGGTGATAATTGGTCTTAAGGGTAACACCTTTTTCCAATCGCAATTCAATTCTGAAGTAGTTATTTTTTGTGTATTCACTGAGTGACTAAAGAATGATTCAATGTTCCTGATATAAAAGCAATTAGCTTAGGATACAAAGTATCTATTTGGGTCTTTATACCAGTCGGAATCTTACAGTCAATGTAAGTAGCGACGAAAAATCCGGGTGCTTTCACAGAGTAGATGTGCTCAAACAATGAGCTGTATGTCTATTCAGAACAGCTAGAGTGATAAGTCTTTTGCAAGCCCACAGATGTAAACCATCCAAAGAAAACTGCTTTTATCCTGTCATCGCGGCAGTTTTACATCAAATGTTTACGTGGGAGACATATACTGTTTCAATTTGGAGTCTTTTCATTATCTGCTGTACTCACAGTTGAATGTCTCGACCCCGGTTCTTCGCCGTTTTTTCAGAGTCCTGTTGTTCACTGCATGTGATGATTTCAGGATGTTCGAGCGGTGTATGTGTAATATTCAAATGGCGGTATCGGGGCTGCCTTCTTGTCAACGTTATTCAAGGAACATTCTTTAGGGGAGCTGCCGTGTATGTGGGTCACACATCAGGTATATCAGGCATACTACGTCCGACGCGTTTCGCCCCACCCACCAAAGCTCCGGTGGGCGGAGCGAAACGCGTCTAGCTGTTCTGAATAGACATACACCTCATTGTTTGAGCACATCTACTCTGTGAAAGCACCCGGATTTTTCGTCGCTACTTACATTGACTGTAAGATTCCGACTGGTATAAAGACCCAAATAGATACTTTGTATCCTAAGCTAATTGCTTTTATATCAGGAACATTGAATCATTCTTTACTCAGTGAATACACAAAAAATAACTACTTCAGAATTGCGATTGGAAAAAGGTGTTACCCTTAGACCAATTATCACCTCTATGGAAACTTAGTGAAGCTGTATATTGCCGTAGAACGTATGGGGCCCATGGTATGAATGAGTGGTTGTTTGAGTGTTATGTACAACGTTGTCTTTTTTTATAGAGGATTTTGTAGAAGTGCACTGATGGTATTAGAATTTTGTACACGAATAAAGTTTAAATTTTTAATGAATATCCGTCTCGGTCTGTGTAGTAACCACTCCTTCCAGTGACCTTTCCTGGGAGACCTTTTTTTTCAAAGTCCCTTAAATCCCCTTTCTTCCCCATTTCTGATGCTCGGTTTGAAATTCAGCAAGTCGTCTTCACCACGCCTAGATGCCTAAATGCATTGAGTTGCTGTCATGTGATTGGCTGATTAGCAATTTGTGTTACCAAGCAATTGAACAGGTGTACCTAATAAAGAGGCAGGTGCGTGTACATGTGCTCAACTGCAGTTATCTTGCTGCCCATACTTTGCCAAGTTGGACATTTCAGGTGAGTACATCTTATTGACCTGATTTTTCCTAAAAACGCGTACGTTACAAAGTGGAAGGGGGAGAGGATTTGGTAGGAAGTCGATATTTTAAGGGTATTGTATTCAAGGCAGTTCTCTTTTAAATACCAAGAATAAATAGAATCACAATAGCCTCCTATCATTTCGGGGAAACAGCATTTTCCTCATTCAGAAATAAATGACATCCAGACTTATGTTCGGTTGTTGTATTGTCTTGCAGCAGTTTACTTTGCATAATGTTCCTTTTGGCAGTTGTATACCAAGTTTATTACAGCCTTGGCCATAAAGCTGTTTGACAGCTTTGTGTTTTTATGATCACAATAATGATTTGGAAAAATAGAATGGCAAGAAAGTCATTTAATTGTTCACAGAGTCTGCGGATAAGAATTGTTTATCACCAAATATGGTTTTTGTGTGGATGTTCTGTAACGTTCACTGAAGATGGTTATTTATAACCCTCGCTGATTTCATCTGTTAATTGTTGTGGAAGGTGGTCCTTTCCCTTCATACTACAGGTTTGGACAAATAATTCTAAAATTCTAGGATGCGGCTTAGATACACAGATCAACCATAACAGGACCGCTGACAGGCGAAGTGAATAACATTAATTTATCTTGTTACAGTGGCACCTGGAAGTGGTTATGATGGATCAGGCAGCAAGTGAATATTTTGTCCCTGAAGTTGATAAGCTGGAAGCAAAAAAAATTGTCGAGCGCAATGATTTTGAGCGACTTTGGCAAGGGCCAAATGCAGCTGCATTAGATGTAATGACGTCACAGGTCCTTAGACCGCCGTAGCCTGGGGGGGAAAGAGGCTGTGGGGACTGGTCTAGCAGCCATGCAGGATAGGTCAGCAGGTTGAGGTCCGTATATTTTCTTTCCCCTTGTCGGGATTAGGTCAGTATATTTTCTTTCCCCTTGTCGGGGTGGTAACAGAAGCTGCACAGTCAGTTTCAACAGCCACATCCAGACAGGGAAAACAGTCCATGCTCTACATGCCACAAGTTCACTTTACATGTTGCACACTCGCATCAGTCCCTGCCCTCAAGGAGTTTACAATCTAAGGTTCCTATTGCACACGCATAGATGACCAATTAACCTTCAGCTTTTGTGTGTGGCACGTGGGAGAAACCCATGCAAGCACAGAGACGACATGCAAACTCCTTGTGGATAAGTGTCCTGACCAGGAATTGAACATGAGACCCTAAGGCTGGGTTCACACTTGGGCGTTCGTAATATGCGTGTTTTGGGCTGCACGTTTTACCGCGATTTGCGGTTAACGAAACGCGCGTTTACGAGGGCTATCTAGCTGTATCCTAATGGATACGCGCGGAAAATACGCCCCAAAGAAGCTCCTGTACTTTTTTGGGCGTAGGGCGTTTTTCAGAGCGTTCCTACTCGCTGAAATACGCCCAGGTGGGAACCATGCCCATAGGAAATAATGGGATTTCACTTGCTGGGCGTTTACAGCGCGTCGATCAGCGATGTAAAACACCCAGGTGTGAACCAGGGCTAAGGGTTGTAAGGCAGAAGTGCTAACCACTAGGTCAGTGTGACATTGGCTACTTGGCTCCTGGTTTTTCCCTTTTACTGAATGACTTCTGGTTTGCTAAAGCACTGTGTAGGAGAAACCAGTGCCATGTTTTTAAAGAAGATAGTACATTTTGTTGCATATAAATGCTGCTGATTCCCTGCAGCCTCTTTCCTGTCTACATGTATGTACTCCAACGATGACTGCATGGCATTTCTCAGAGTGAGGTTTCCTAAATGAGTCAACAAGTGGAACATGCGTGTACAATGGGAGAACATGGGACAATGCAGCAACAGAGTTGAGAGACGGGACAGAACTTTGTCACCCTATGACAGGTAGTGGCTGACCAAGGACCTTCATGACATGAGCAGCTCGGATTATTTTATTGGAAGCTGCACATTTACAAATATTGAAAATGACATTGTCATGTTAAAGCTTATATGAAGATTTCAGTGATTGGGTTAAATTTAAATAACACTGTAAATCTACAAAACATGCTAGTTGATTTTTGGCTTTTCCCTAATTTGTTAGTAGTCGCAGAGTGTAAAGTGCTTCAGCAAGGGCTAATATGCATATGGCTGTCCTATGCTGTAAATTACTGTGGATCTCTGCTTTGCAATAGCAATTATTAAATCAAATAAAATCCACATTTGTGTCTTGCTTTGCCAGACCTCTTCACAGATTGCTCATCTTTCTCCCTTGTTCAAATGTCAGAAATATGAATCCATTTTGCAGGCATTCCTCAATAACACATTTAAATATGCCTCCTTATTCCTATGGGCCAGGGAACTCCCAGCTTAATTCACAAACTATATATTATTTTATTGTTCTAGTAATTATGATGTCTTCTTAATAAAAGCATGTGCCATTTGTTCCTCTAGGACTTCAAACAGCAGCCAAACTATATCATCCTGCCAGACGATGGAGTCATGTGCCCAAGATGAATTCTTCCAGTCCCTCAACCATGCCGAGCAAACCTTTAAGAAGATGGAGAATTACCTTCGACACAAGCAGCTGTGTGATGTGATTCTGATCGCTGGCGATCGTAGGATTCCCGCACACAGGTAGTTCATGCAGATTTTAATCCACAAAAGGGGTGCAGGAGGCAAAAATGATTGACATTCCAACAACAAAAGACACACAATATGGGGCTTTTAAGGTGTTGCGCCAGGAATAAAACACAGGTACATTATAATAAGCTAATAATATGTTCCATATTTATTCTTAAATATATAAAATTACTTCTGTTACAACATATGTAATAACTACCACCGATGCTCAAACATATCCCAATAATAGTTCACTACATGATGTTGATATCAAAGCGTAGTACCTCCCTGGATCATACATACACATTTTTTGTCAGTGACACTGATAATGTACAATAATGATTAAGCTCATCTTGTACAATAATGATTAAGCTCATCTGTTCAGAGTGAAATAAAAATGATGGCCCTTAAATTAGCTCTCTTCCTGTCCTATATAGACCAGTGGTCCCCAACCCGCGGACCGGTACCGGTCCGTGGATCAAATGGTACCGGGCCGCGGAATTCGTATCGCCCAACGCCCGGGACATGTAGTTCCGGGCAAGTGCTTTTTACACTTTTTTTTTTTTTCTCTTAAATGAGCGCCGAGAACGGGGGACGGAGCGCAGGGGGCGGGGACAGAGCGGGGGGTGTGGAGTAGTGACAGGCTCTGTCACCTCCTTCAGCCTCTGTCCTCAGCGGCTGCTGCTCGTTCCTGTCACACAGGAGTTCTAGCAACAGTGCCTGCTAGAACTCCTGTGTTGGAGGTGACAGGTTGAGAAAAGTGTACCTGTCACCTCCAAATGTTATCACACAGGGGATTTGTTAACCCCTGTGTAATAGCAATACAGTTCAGTTTAAAAATAAATAGTTTTTAAAAAAAATATTAAAAACGTAACAAAATAAAAATGTAAAAAATAAAAATAATAAAACAAAACAAATAAAATGTTTCCAAAGTAAATAAAAATTGAATAAATGAAAACCAGCCCCACTGCCCCCATCTGCACGCGAATAAACGTGCAGTGTTTTAAACTGCGATTGTGTGCAACCACACGGGCAAGGCTGTGTTGCAGCAGGAAAACGCTCAATTTGCCTGGCACGACTGTGGTGCCATTTAGAAAATAATGGCACTGACAGCACAAATTAAAATTATTAAATCAAAACAATCTAAAATATAAACAATCAACGTCCCCCCCTCAGCGGGCCGCGGTAAAATTATCAAACGTTGACCGGTCCGCGGCGATAAAAAGGTTGGGGAGCACTGCTATAGACCCAACAGGAAGTGAGAACATAACTTTCCCAAGTAAGAGATCTCCTCCTAAAGTAGGTAGTTGTACTGTGACAAGTGTCTCCATTTGAAGATTTACCTTCTGTTCCTGTTCAAGGGGGATAGTTCCAAATTTTGGATTTACCCTTATTTTCTTTTTTTAAATGGTAAAAGGTTATTAAGCATTTTCAAGCTACTGACAAGTGTTCAGTGTGAGACATGTAAGAGCTCGTACAATCGCCCAACAATTGTAAGGTCAGATATTTCACAAAGCTTAGGCTCTGTTTGTTACTTAGTCCATCAAGGACATAAACCAGAATTTTGGCCTTTTATGATGTGGGGGATATAGACCTGACTAATGTGGACATTCAGGATCTCCCATGTACTAGAGGAGAAGAGAGAAATATAGAGCAGGAGAATGGCCTGTTTATACATCATGAAGATTTGTGACCAGAAATATATCATCAAGGGGCTTGACCAGCAAATATGTGGAATGGTCCCTCTTGCTTTTTCTTAGTGCCAGCACTGGTCTGAGATGGAGGGGAATTGCTAAAAGGGCATTTGTACCAGGATGTTTGTATCTTTAGTATCTTTGTTTTTCTCCTGGACCATATTTATGTGTGGCGGTGGATGCGAGCCACTACTAAACAAGCGAACCTGGCAACAAAAGATCTGCTTTAAAATAGATATTAGAAGAGGAATATGCTGTGAGGCCCTGTCATGTGTTGTATCTTCCCAGCATATTCAGAGGTCTGCACCAGGACCTGAAACAGTTGGGAATGTCTTGATAAGCTCTGGCTCATTTCCAAGGCCTTCCTCCACATTCTATCCATAATTCCATTTGATGCTTATTGTAACTTTTCTTTGTCAAAATAGCAGAATAGGTGCCAAACTAAAATGTTCTGCAAATATTTTATTCTTTTACTGCTGTGATTCTGTCGACACATGGTGCTTTATTACCAACCAAATAATAACAAGCTTTCATTGCTTTCAAGTTATGATGATTTAAAGCAGCTCTTTCAAACTGCATTTGTCAGTAAGGTGTATTAAATAAAGCATTAGTAGTTTTGGCACACGGATGTCAGATATAAAATGAATTAGTTATTACATTTTGTAGACTGTATAAAACGTCTCCCATTAATCTGATTATTTTTTTTTTTCTTCCAGACTGGTCCTGTCTTCAGTGTCAGACTATTTTGCTGCAATGTTCACCAGCGATGTTCGAGAAGCCAAGCAAGAGGAAATTAAAATGGAAGGTGTTGAACCCAACGCGCTCTGGGCCTTAGTTCAGTATTCATACACAGGTAATATATGTGCTTGTGTAGTGAGTGGGCATTGCTGTGGAAATGAATTAGATGTCTACAACAGAGCAGTCTATAATTAGATCAGGGAATGCGGAGCAGAACACTAAAAACTCTTCCTGCTGTGTAGAATGGGCCTTACGTTTTATGTATTATCAGTGAATGTGAATTGGGTAGCTGAGGACTGTGAAATAATAAAATGTGCATCTCCAGCTGTGTCAATTAGTCAAACTCATGAAGAATGAAGAATTTAGTTATCTATCAGCAGGTCACAATTGGTTAAATCAGGGCTGGACACATTTTCTTTTACTCCAGGAGCCAGCTAAAAAAGTTGGGAGCCAGGTTTTTTTCGCGGGGGATTTTATCTTCTTTTTTTTATTTTTTTTTAAAGTATTTTATTTTTATAATTTCTTCTTTTTTTTAATTAGTTGGAGATGACAGGTTCTCTTTAAGGTGACAATAGGGGTATAATAGACCCCTAGCTTCACCTTTCCAGTAGGCTTTAGCTGGGGAATGACAGCTGCTTGCTGAGGCAGCTGAATGTAAACACAGCAGGCAGTGGCTGCGAGCAATAGCGAGCCTGCTATTGGCTGTTTTAAATTGCAGTAGCCAATAGCAGCCTGGCTATTGCACCTGCCACTGCCTGCTGTCAATTAGCAGAGGAGGACCTGCAGGAGAAAGTTCTCCTGCAGGTCCTCTTCTGCTGATTGACAGCAGGCAGGTGCAATAGCCAGCCTGCTATTGGCTACTGCAATTTAAAATAGCCAATAGCAGGCTGGCTATTTCTGCTGGCCGCTGGGTTGAAGATCTATCGTGGCTGGCAGCAGGAAGGGGGAACAGGCGAGCATGCTGGCAGATGGGTGTGGGGGGGGGGAGTGGGGTGGCACGAGGGAACTGCACCCCCGTTCCTTCTCCCATCGCTGTCAAACCAATAACTATGCTGTTCTCCTCCTTGCTGCAGACTCAGATTGTTAGCAGTCTCTCCTCATAGGCTGTACTCGGCTACAGCGATCTGTGTCCCCTGTGATGCAGACCCTGCAGCCGATTACAACCTGTGAGGAGAGACTGCTTGCTGTCTTACAGCATTAGTGTGCCATTCAAAATTATTGGCACCACAATGTAGAAGTCTAATCCTGGCGTCAACAGAGGCCACATCATGTAACATTTTAAGCCTGTATTGTAGCAGCTTGATCCAAAAACTGTAGAGAATCACATTTTCTTTTTTTTAAGGCACACCAAGAGTTGGCTGCTGAACATGAAGACATTGCGGCATACATTCCATTGTAAACCACCCTTGTCATTAAATTCTGTGCATACATGCTGTAGACTATTGAAAAGTCTATTGAGTTTAAGATTTTGTGCTCATCTACATGGGCATTGATACTCAATCATACGCATATAAATGTAAATAAAATGGCCCTATATATCGGATAAATAAATGTTCTTGGCATTGCTCAAACGCTTATATAGAGGTTCATAACCCATATGCCAGTCATTCCTCTCAATAATGGCAGGTCCAGGCAATATGTGAAAGGCAGTCTGCCAGCAGTACGGGTGTAGCATATTTCACAATCTAAATGGCAGCAATGCATTATACATGCTCTAATAGTGTGTTTCACAACAATGGTGTCTTACTCTATATATAAAGATGTCAGGATCCACATTTAAGGTATTAAAATTGCATGTATTTAATGTACATGCTCTTAATGTTGCCCAAAGACACCCAGATATTGAAATCCTAACCCATACAGTAGACAATCCTCAAGAAGATGACCTGTCCAGACAAAGCATAAAGAGGAGTCTACCTATATTATGGGAATAACGCCCTTTTAAATAGTCCAAATTGCAGTCACTCCTCTCATATAAAAAGGATTCTGGAGCAGTGTGGACACATAATACAATGATGTCTTACTTCAAATACACAGATGTCAAGATGTAGAATAATAAACTTAAACAGTCAATAAGGATGAGATGTGAACATATAACTGTTAACACATCCAATTCTAGAAATACTGATCATAACATTGCAGTATTATGCTGTATGTGGTGTACTTGTAAGATCAAACTGTGGAGTAGAGTGTGACTTCAAAGGCATTCGATGTCTGACAAATGAGCCCAAATCAGCTCATAATGCTTTAATAGAAAACAGCACAGGTAGTATAGTGTACTTACTGAACAGTAATTTGGCTCCATGCCTAGTCAAAGGAGGACCGTCCCTTGATGACCCTACTGGTTTTGCCTGGTCTTGCCGGCCCCTTCAGGGAGGAATGGTAAGAGAGTATTTCAGACCCAGTGGAATGGTTGTAAATTCAGACGCCCTAGTAAAATTTGCAAAGAGGTTCTTCCCCAGTGATACTGAAGCTGCTGTTCTTATCAACCACTTGCAGAGGAAGTATTTGATGCGGGGGCAGTAGAGTAAAGCTTGCTCACTATTGCAGTTCCTGTCTGTTTAGCGCGCTCTGTTTGTATGTGTTTGATGTGGGGGACAATAGAGCAAGGCTTGCTTACGAAAGCTGGTCATACACCTATAGATTATCTGCAGAGCTTCTATGGTCAGATGGAAAAAGTGCAACAGATTCCTCCATCTACGCTAAACTGTGTGGATGGAGGAATCTCCCACTGGACCAAGCTTCATCTTCATATCTTGCTAGTCGGCCCCGCTGGCTGTCAAAACACCTGAACAATGCCAGCATCCCATCAGATTTTTCCGGTATTTTGACAGCCAGCCGGGGCGACTAGCAAGATACTGACGCTTGGCCCAGCGGGAGATTCCTCCATCCACACAGTTTAGTGTAGATGGAGGAATCTGTTGCACGGTTTCCATCTGACCATAGAAAATCTAGGTGTATGGCCAGTTTAAGACGGTTCCTGTCTATTTAGCATGCTATGTGTGTAAGTGTTTGATGTGGGGGCAGTAGACTAAGGCTTGCTTACTATGACAGCTCCTGTCCGATCAGCATGATCTTTGTGTAAGTATTTGATGTGAGGGGCAGAATAGTAAGACTTGCCTACTATGAGCGTTCCTGTCTATTTAGCACACTGTGTGTAAGTGTTTGATGTGGGGGCAGTAGACTAAGGCTTGCTTACTATGACGGCTCCTGCCTGTTTAGCGCGGTCTGTATGTAAGGGTTTGATGTGGGGTCAGTAGAGTAAGGCTTGCTTACTATGACGGTTCCTGCCTGTTTAGCACGCTCTGTTTGCTGTGTTTTGATATGGGGGCAGTAGACTTAAGGCTTGCTCACTATGACGGTACCTGCCTGTTTAGCGTGCTCTGTATATGTGTTTGATGTGGGGGCAGTAGAGTAAGGCTTGCTCACTATGATAGTTCCTGTCTGTAGAGCGCGCTGTGTGTGTAAGTGTTTGATGTGGCGACAGTAAAGAGGGGCCAAGCCCAGTTAAAGTTGCAATGCAGCTGAGAGGGGGACATGTATACTCCTACATATGGGAAACACAAACCCTTTTTTCTTTCAATTTTTATTTATAGACGCTTATTATTCATATTCTTTTTCTTACACTTTTATTATCCTTTTCTACCTTTTTACCTCAATCCAACAGTTGTGTTTTTAATTTTGGTCTTAGTTCTTCAATCAGAATATAGCCTTTTGTGCTCAAGGTCATGGATGAAAACTGCAGATCTGCAGAGTAAAACAAAAATAGGTCACTGAGCCAGACTTGTGTGGCAGCCTTTGCTTTGAACGCACTTAATGCACATTGTTTTCTCAGGAGCTTTGACTTGTCTGTCTGCTGCTGGCATATAATTACAGGCTGTTCTATCCCTTTTGAGGTTTCAGAAAATGCTAATTTTCATGCACCACATCATGTAAGTGGGTTAACCTTAGCTGCACCTGTTTTATTAATAAGTCTGTTATTTTTCATGTTGCTGAAACCTCTTATATATCCTCAAATTTAGAAGCTGAGAACATTAAATCATAGCTTGAATCTTTGTTCACTGATCCATCAAATGTATTCTCTGCCTTGCCGTTCATGCATTAAAATAATTTTTAATTAGAATGTATTAGATTTAATATACAGCAGGTCACATCACCAAGGCACTTCTAAAATTAAACTTTTTTATCTTCCCTGGCTCCGTAAAGAGAACTAGACTTCCCCAGGGTAATGATGGGAGTCTAAATATTCTGTCTTAAAGTGGACCCAACATTAGTTATATTTTTTTAATGCATGCTAAGTAACATGTAAGTGTTTTTACGGAGATCACAGAACCTTCCATGACATTCCCTTCATTTTTTTTCTCTCCTAAGGAATAGAGGCATCTTTGTCATGGCATTACCCAGGGTCAGCATCTGCTTTGTGGACGGTGATGCTGGCTTTAGGATAATACAGTCATGTAGGCCTGCAACAACCTTTTGATCATCCCCTTTGATCATGAGACCGATGCAGTCGGAGCCCAACAGGGAATAGAGACTGCTGTGCCTCTGCAAACCCTTTTTTTTACCCTCCCTCCCCCCCCCCC